GTGTGTGTGTGTGTGTGTGTGTGTGTGTGTGTGTGTGTTTGACGAGGAAGGGGGAAGTCTTTGTTGTTGTTGACAGTCGCTCCGTGTGTGTGACAGAAACCTTTTGACTACAGCTGCTGCTTCTACAAGAGCCCACACACACTCAGACGCCCTGAAGTGGCCTCATTCAAAGACGTGTGTTAACTTAAGGTTTATATTTAAAGGTGCAGTGTGTAGAATTTAGTGATGTCTAGTGCTGAAGGTTCATGTTGCAGCTGAACACCCCTCACCTCACCCTCTCCTTCCAAACATGAAGAAGAACCTGTGGTAAACTTTAATTGTCATAAAAACTCAAAAGGTGTTTAGTTTGTCCAGTCTGGACTAATGTCAAAAACATGGCGGCCTCCGTAGAGAGGGTCCCCTCCATGTAAATATAAAGTATTTAAATATAAACGGCCTTTTCTGGGGTAAAGAAAAACTACAATTCATACAATTTTGATGAAACGAACTAAACATCATGAGGATTATTCTACATTCAATTTCTGCCAATAGATCCTTTCACCTGAATCTTACACACTGGAGCTTTAAGTTAAGATTTAGATTTAAGGGTTTAAGTTAAGGTTCGGGTTAGGTGAGCAGTAACTATGGTTCAGGTTTGAGTCAGTCTCCAGGAAATCGATGAGCAAACGAGGAATCATCTTCTAGTAAAAACTGTCAAAACGAGACCATTTCCCAGGAAATGGAATTCAAAGTTTTCTGCGTAGGGATGTAACTACAATACTTTTACTCAAGAGCTGCACTTGTGTAGTTCTAAGGGTACTTCGTATTGTTATCCTCCAAATACTGCACATTTTACTCCACTTTATCTCAGAGCTACAATTTGAATGCAGGATTTCTACACAGAAACACCCGATCAGTTTCAAATATCACATTAATGTGTTGATTGTTATGGATTAAACAACGTAAAACACCTGTACAGATAAAATCTGCTTCATTTTGGATCAGCTACGATAATAAATTACTGCTTACAGCCCAAGTTTGTGTAATACTTTCATTTATACTTCCAAATTAAAGGTTAATATTGAAAATTAATTGAGTTTTAAAATGGTTAACTATAGGTTTAACAATCAACGGGTAAAACAAAATACCTCGAGGAGCCGTAAACACCAGCTGTCACAGAGTCCTCCAGCCCCTCGCTTCACAATAAGAGATCGGCTGTGAAGATAACGA